CTACTCCACCATCTCTCTCACCATAAGAAGGAACAGTGTATAGTTACTGGTTACTTTAGGGAAGCATTGTTACTCTTGTTACTTGTATGGCAGACATGTTTTTACAGATGTAATACCAGTGGATATAAACATATTCTACAGCAGAACCTGCATAATTGTACATATTAATGTTATAAGGAACCATTCATAATTCATGGCTAGGGGGTGGTGGTGATGGTGGTTGGGGGTGGGTGGGATGTGTTACCCATTTTGTTCTGGGGAGCTAGGGTGGTGTCATAAATGTACTTAGGGAGGGGGGTCATTCATGTTGTACATGACATGCAGGAGGGTCACTTACTTTGTACATAGGTTTTAGGGGTGGGTGGGGGATTGTACATGCTTCTCCATAAAAATCATCATCACACACCCCACACACACACCTAGCCATAAATTACGATCGGTCCCTAATCATGATAATAACACACAACCACATTTATTACTTAAGGCCTCATCAACACTTACACTTGTTACACAATGCTGACTGTGCAGTAAAATAACAGGAAGTACACTTTGCATAAATATAAGATTTTAACACGTTATAAGATTCTCAAAATTACAACACTTGTCCAGCAAAGTTACATTCAATAATGTCTACATTTTGATTTTACATAAACTGACCAGAAAAAGTTAACAATAACTTGACTACAAATGCCTGTGATTACATACTACTAAAACAGGTTAAGGCAGTGTATGAAATAAGGCCCATCCGACCGCCCGAGATTTCTGACAGATTTACAGCTAGCCAGCCCGATGGTCTGGTAAATGTTTTAGATGTTCCATACACCTGAGTACCGGTAAATTCACCATATCTTGGTTTCTGGTCTGGTTAAATCCATTTGGGGCTGGTAACATTTGAAGTTACCAGCCCTGATGTCTGGCTGGGTTTTTTGGGGCTTTTTTCATAGACTGGTAAAGGACCACCCAATCTTTCATATTCCTATAATTGATATGTCTAACTACTACCTATAGCACTTAGAGAAAACTGGCAATATTTGACTTTTTTAGTACCATAGGGTTGAATGATACAACCTTCTGAAACCATGGAAACACAAGTAATCTGTTTTACAGTTATTTACACCTGTTTATGAGCTCATACCGGTAATATTCAAGACTTTCTACAAAGGTATAAAAGGCATTTGCTTGAAAGTATGAGATCATAAAATGGTGTATTTCCACAAAGAGACATTTGGGTTGATCACAAATCTTTCTGTTTGTGAGTTTGTGACAAGAGGTTTTATTTCAGTTATTTAACATTGAAAAACACCCATGAAAACAATATGCTCTCCTGAATCCATTAGAGGATAGTGAAATGACTTTACTTCAAACAGCTTCTAGTCTATTTTCCATATTTAATTCTAATATCCTATGTATTTTGATCACAAACATATGTAAATGATGTAAGACTGCAGCTGATGATATTGTTCATGGTGAATCTTTAAAGAATCTTGCCATCTGACTGGGCATCCATCTTATATAAACAAGAAATGCACGTTGTCTGTCAAACTGTACTAATATCAAGATGTCAGGTGTGATGTTACTTGTCAGAACTGACCCTGTCCACACATCGGGTTACCACCTACTGTGCTGGCAGTCACAAACACACACCCACAAACATGTGATTGTAATGTTTGAACTTGTGATGATGGTTACATGTGTGTACCAGTCAGTAAGGGTCAAGGTCATGTTCACCCCTTGCCTCCAGGTGGGGTACTAAACACTATGGACATACACCCAGCCACAGACAGTGTATGGGCCTGTACAGAGCTGGGGTGTTCATACAACCAGAAACAGTAAAGCCAAACTATTTTTCAAACCAATAATCTAAGGTTTCAGCTGTGTGCAGGAATTAACTCTGCACAGCAAACTGTAGGGCCTTGGAAATGCCCGTCCTGTGCCCCCTTACGTATACCACGCCCCCTCACAGATACAAGCAACAAAATATTTTTGTACATAGTGATTTACACACTAAATGGCAAGACAGTAGAAATCTCCAAATTTTCTACTTAAAATTACAAAAAAATGCACACAAAATATGTCAATATTAAAGAAAAAGCATATATATTCAAAAACAGGAATATTTGATCAACACAATACTTCAATATAATGACAAATATATTGCAATGTATAAACCTGCCATGCAGTTATGTAAAACATCCACTGTGACACAGAGATAACTACAACGAAGGCATGAAGATCTGGACAGTTTATTAATGCGACTCCTCCAATTGCCCTTAACAGGAACAATATTTAAGTTGAGGCGTAATATTGTCATCTGCTTCACAGTCTCGGAGAGAAACATGAAACTAAACCTTCATCAAAACCATACTATGAAGCCTTGACAAGAAGGGGACCTGGCCAAATATGTGCAGCCTAGGTTTTAGTCATGTTCTTAATGAACACATACTTTGACATGAGACACAAATAATAAAATAGTAGTCATATGTTTACAATCTACAGTTCATGGTTATTTCATTTTATAGACCAGGCCTTTAGTTTCCATCTATATCTTGGACAATGACTGCAGTAACCTCAACGTTAACTGACAGTGGATTAGGGATTACCAGTGCGATTAGTGTCGAGAGGAGATTAACACTTCAGGTATCCGACAAGTGAGTCATGGCTGGGACACTAATGCTGTTACAAGCACACTGGCTGCTATTCCATTTATCAAGTCAAATCTACAATGTACCCTGTCCCTTGGGGCTATGTAACTATGCAGCAGGTTTTTGTATTTGAAGGGGTGAATTCATCAAATATTACATGATTATTATATAGTGAGTGTACTGGGACCTATGAATAGTGTCTACACAAGTGTCTTTGTCTAACTGAAATGTATCTACTGTGGGAGGATTCTTCTTGTCAAGTCTCTCAAAACAAACTCAGTGAGAAGGAGGCTTCTTATGATTTGATATGCACACCACAATTATTGTACGTTTAAAGATCACGTTTTTTGACAGGGCATAAGTAAGTAAACTAAGATTCAGATTTTACGACCATTTTCATCAATATGATTACATATTTTAGGTTCATTGTCGTGTATTTTGACACTTTCATTATTGTTCAGTAATTATTCACCTACAGGATGAGTATGTACAGATCAACTGATAATTGTGCATGACAATCAACATGATCAGCAAATTATTGTCTCAAGTTTGTAACCATCACAGGTACTTTAGCTTGAAGAACATAACAATCAATAAAAACTAAACACTTCTACACATCCAGACAGTTATGAGAAACCACATGATCTTCCTGTACAATGCCTGTTACACTGACACTCATGTTTATAGGCCTTACAATGTTGACCTCAGAACTTCAAGCTAAGATGCAGCATACATTACTTTTATGCATTATAAGTCATGCAATTTTAGTGTGTCAGCAAAAATAACTACCATTACATTTGATCTATTACCAAGCATTGTGCCTGTCGTGTCATGGATATGTAAGACAGTGCAGTTAGCTCACATGTTCAAAATATGCGTTCCTTCTAAAACTGCAAACATACATTCCTGACTAGCTTCAGATGATAAACATATGTATCTTAGTTTAATAATGTGACTTCTGGGTACTCACTTTAACCATTGGCCCGTTACTACAATATATATAAAACCGCTAACTCACAATGTCCGACTGTACCAGTGAGTGTCGACAGGTGACATGTAGTTTCATACCTTTGTGCAAACTTGGCACAATCAAGATACTGTACATGCAAACGCTGAAATATGTATTTCACATTGTCAAAACACTGGAGTATGTTCAGTATCAAATACCTGGATTTAGCTTCACAGTGTATATGAAGTTCAGTAAAACTAGCAGAATTCAGCGCTCCTTAATTTATCATTGACATCAGTTTGCTTACACTCACTAAAACCATTTCTTCAAGAACTAACTGTGCAGAAAACAATTTAAAAAGTCCAACTTTCACAACAGAAACTATGCTAGCAACATGTAGATGAAATTCAACAAACATACGCAAGATGTAAAAGTACACAAAGCACCTGACAAGATGGACTTTGAAATAACGACATTCTGAATACACACAACATTTAATACAATCCGTGAAAATAGCCAGGAGGCTGTATCACAATCACAGACACACTGAAGCACCCAGAGTAGCTCAGAGTAGCCGAGAGTAGCCCGCACATCAGCAAGTATGAACACAGCAGAGGGCCGACAGTGGCACTTTCTCAGGAAATGTTGCTGCAGGAAGCCTTGGCTACAGTGAAACCTTGTCAGTCAGGAACCTGTTAATCCACCTCACTCCAAAGAAATGTTCACAGATTACAGAGCCTGTCCTGAAGTATCATCAGAGATGGAGTCATGAGCCTGAACGATGTTCCAGTCAACTGAAAACTGTATCAACTGTTCTCTACAGATGTTCCAGTCAACTGGCAAACTGTATCAACTGTTCTCTACAGATGTTCCAGTCAACTGGCAAACTGTATCAACTGTTCTCTACAGATGTTCCAATCAACTGAAAACTGTATCAACTGTTCTCTACAGATGTTCCAATCAACTGAATACTGTATCAACTGTTCTCTACAGATGTTCCAATCAACTAAAAACTGTATCAACTGTTCTCTACAGATGTTCCAATCAACTGAAAACTGTATCAACTGTTCTCTACAGATGTTCCAATCAACTGAAAGCTGTATCAACTGTTCTCTACAGATGTTCCAATCAACTGAAAACTGTATCAACTGTTCTCTACAGATGTTCCAATCAACTGAAAACTGTATCAACTGTTCTCTACAGATGTTCCAATCAACTGGAAACTGTATCAACTGTTCTCTACAGATGTTCCAATCAACTGGAAACTGTATCAACTGTTCTCTACAGATGTTCCAATCAACTGGAAACTGTATCAACTGTTCTCTCCAGATGTTCCAATCAACTGGAAACTGTATCAACTGTTCTCTACAGATGTTCCAATCAACTGGAAACTGTATCAACTGTTCTCTACAGATGTTCCAATCAACTGAAAACTGTATCAACTGTTCTCTACAGATGTTCCAATCAACTGAAAACTGTATCAACTGTTCTCTACAGATGTTCCAATCACCTGAAAACTGTATCAACTGTTCTCTACAGATGTTCCAATCAACTGAAAACTGTATCAACTGTTCTCTACAGATGTCCAATCAACTGAAAACTGTATCAACTGTTCTCTACAGATGTTACCGACTGGGAAGTTTTGTATCCATATATCAACATTTAAGTTTCACGATTTATCAATAACAAAATTAGTTATTCTGTGTATGATTAAAGTAAACAAAGTTGACTTGTGATAAATTAATGAAAAAAATAATCAAAGCTGAACCACTTCCTGTTTGATGTCTTGACGTACAGCATGGAGATGTCTGGAGGGTTGGTCAACAGGACTAACATAGTTTCACTTTATCTGAAGCTCTGTAACCATCATCATTCCACTAGTCGCCACATACATATACGTGACATTATATCTTAGCAGTAGGCTGCAGCAGTGCTGCCACAAGAATGTAGAACAAAAACAGCTTCATTACTTTATACATACTTCACTTCAGGATGGTTTCATGCATTAAGTAGCAACAAGTCTTGGAGACCTAAGCAGTGCTGTCAGCAGTCGCTGGATAAGACAGTTGATGGGGAAACATAGCTCCCTGCCTACTTATTGCACACAGCCCCCAGCAAATACTGCAGGAAAGTAAATGAAATATTTGACAAGATATATTTCTAGAGACAAATTTTGTATCGGATAAGTGATTTTCATCATAGCATAGGAAAAAGTATTCTTATATTGCCTAAAGATGACTGGTTAATGTGTTAAAATATCAAAGGTGATCCTGGAACCTATATTTTCCCTGACTGAATTATTTCCTTTCAAAAAATTATCAATTTATTTTCTTCACTATCATGAAACATAAAATCCAAAATGCCAAAGACTTTATCCCACAAAGGACAGCCAGGAACTGTGGAGAGTTCATGTCTGTCTACTACAGCTGATGATGAGCAAGAGAGGCGGTGATGACCTGAGAAACCCCTGCTGTGTCCCTACAGCATCCAGCACGGCTTAGGAGTAGCTGAGGGCCTCCATACAGGAACTGGGCCCCTTCAGAGACAGACCACCTATCACATGTAGCCTGTTCTTGAAGATGATACATGCACATGAGCAGTGTGTGGTTGGCAGGTTCGAGATCTCCGTCCATGTGTTGCTTGCAGGGTCATATACCTCTACAACTTGCAGAGGTTTGCCAGTGTTACCTGCAACGTCAATGCAAGGTGGGTGAAAACTGGGAGAAAATCTCTTTGATTTGAACTTCTTCATTTCCAGAATGGATCAGTTTCTGAGACAAATACATACTAATCCTTGCATACAAGACAATACCTAGCATCACAACAAATTCAACTGAAATGCTAATTTACATCAGTATCTAGTGATGTGATATTGGAAACTTTACATTTTCATTGACAAGGTAGTTATCTCTTATTTGTTCACCTGAAACAATTAGTTTTTTTACCAGTAAAACATATTTTACTGAAAGTGAAACCTTTACATAGGCCGATCTCTTTCTACAGAATCTTTTCTGGTTGTCACAATTTATCTACAGGGATATATGGTGCATACATACCTAGTCCACCAGCACATACAACCTTTCCTCCAACAATCCCAGCGGCCATATCACCTCTCTTCGTAGGCATCGGGGTGCCCACCTTCCAGGTTTCTACAAGCAAAAACACTAGAAATAATGACACTGCAGGGTGGATTGAAGGAGCTCATCTCCATGTGTACAAAGTTTCTTGAATTAACATAAACTGTTTCAGAGGTAAGTTGAAAATTGATGCCATGAAAATGGAACAAATATCATTCTTAAATGTCCTTAATAGCAAAAGGCACCTGGTCTTTGTGTGGGCTGGTATATGGCAGTGATATTCATTGTGTAACAATGTTCCAAGTGTAATATAGTGTGCATGTTATCAAGTGAATGGAAGTGGGGTGCTATATCTAGACAGAGTTGTGGAATGCAATACAAGCTAATAGGCATCATCAGTGACAGTGACAACAGCGTCGAAAGATCTAGTAGTTTTTCCTCAGGTATAGAAGGGGAGATAACTCTTGCATCTCATCTCACATTTTATCTCAAGCCATGAAAAGACCAGTGAGTGAGTGAGTTTAGTTTTACGCCACACTCAGCAATATTCCAGCTATATGGCGGCGGTCTGTAAATAATCGAGTCTGGACCACACAATCCAGCGATCAACAGCATGAGCATCGATCTGCGCAAGGTTGAAAAGACCAGTATATTGTGTGATCACTCTATACCCTCTGATACTATGCCTAGACCTAACGTCAGAAGTTGGATTACTGTTACTGAGAGGTAAAAATTACCACTATTGTTTTTATTTTAATAATCACTGCTCTTGTATGATATTACCTTTGAATGTGTACAGCCATGCCAGTTTGTACTGCCACAGAGATACCTCTCGATTGATGGGTGAACTTAGCTAGTATCAGGACACAATTGTTTATTACGCTCTTTAACAGACTGATGCTCAGAAAACTTTTCAGCTTCAACTTTGGAAAATATATGTAACAGTGCAAAGTTTCATGAAAAAATAGCTATTAGTTTTAGAGTGGCATGAGGCTGGACAGGATTACTTAATGGAGAAATGGACAAACAAATTGATGAAACTACTCCCTGTATTACACTTGGGGGATAATCATGAAACACAAGTTTCAGAAATTGGCTTGAAGCCTTGAATTCTGTGTCCATATATTCACTTATACACAGGTAACTTGTATGAACATTATGGTAGACACAAGTGCTATGTATTTCACCCTCAAATGAGAACATAGGACACTGATACAATATTATACAAACCATGATGACAATGAAGAATGAGGACATTTATGGACATGCAACTTCTTTATTCTGTACAGGCAACGTTTTCGACATAGATTCTTATGTCGTTGTCAAGCAAGTGGTTGAGTTTTGCTTGACAACGTCCTTAGAACCACTTGCTTGACAACATTAGAATCTATGTCAAAACGTCACCCATACAGCATAAACAAGATGTATAACCATAAAAGTTGTCCTCATTCTTCATCTCCTCAACTTCTAGAATGCCAATCAAAGCAGTCATATGATGACAATATGAAATAGTGAAAGTTGCATCTGGACATAAAGTTCAGCTTTACATCATGAACGTATAAATGGTAATGGATACGGCCAAAATAATACATATGTTTTTATTTGGAATTTATTTGTTTTGAAGGTTTGTCAGAAAACTGATAAAGTTGACGCAAGCGCACAAACTGGGATTTATAGTAAAATGTTTAAGCGGGTTGCATTCACTGGTTTCAAAGGGGATAACTAAAAAAATCTGCTAAGAACTACAGTAATTCAATACAAAACAAAATAAATATATCCTACATATTACCACATCATGTATGGTATATTTGCACTTACTTTTCTCTACACTGAAGACTTCACAGACATCAGAGAAGCCGAGGTCGGGTGGTTGTTGCAGTCCCCCCAGACTGTAGATGTTGGTGTCATCTGTCGTGTACATCGGGAACACCCGCTTGCTAGGAACAGGTGGTAGCTTTTCCCACTTCTTGGTCTCGAAGTGATACACCTCAAATGCATCTGTGGGAATCTTACCCTGTCGTCCACCTGTAACAGATGCCACCAGCTCTCCATTGCTCGAACCTGTTACAGCTAACACATGTGCCTAGAGCAGTGTAGGAAAGATGTAGAAAATCTAGCCTGTCCACAGGACTTGCAGGTCAAATTTTTTACCAGTCCTGCCAAAATCTAGCCTGTCCTCCAAATATAAATAAAACACCTTCGGCAGTAAATATTCAAAAAGGTTATAATCATTATATATATGTTATTGGTTTGCTAAAATTGACCCGACATGAGGACGGACTATAATTTTTTTTTAACCCGTCCTCCACAAAATTCACCCGTCTTGGCCGTTGGGACGGGCTATCTTTCCTACACTGCCTAGAGTCTGAAGCACTCAGTTAGATGTTGCAATGTCATGATACAATGACTTTGGTGTTAAATGATTTGTATCCTGATACAGTAATTTTTCATAAATTGATATTCTTTTTAATGCAGATGAATCACAACCCTGAATCGTTCTTTTAAAATATCAGACTTCAAAGATATTTTAGGCAGATTCATCAACCAGAAGGCAATGTAAATGTGTCTATCTAGAGCCAACTGGGAAATACTAGAGCACCTGTTCCAGCTCTTTGTAGAACAGTTTCTTTTAGCAATTTCAATCCCATATTATTCACCTGTTTTTATGCCAGTATAATGTGTACCAGTCATGATAATGTGCAAGATGTATCATGACACAAGTTGTAAATTGATGTATCGTGGCAAGGTCCTAACATCAGTATACTGTATCATTATATTGTCACACTACTAGTGAACTCAAACATCTCCTTCATCCAAGACATCTTTAGATCATGTTCCTTCCATGAAGCCAGTGACAGATACACTTCCTGCATCATTTCATTAAACTATAATGAAGCCAGAGATACTCCTGACATTTATAATGTATGTGACCATCTGCTGCTCCAGTTGACATGGCTGGCATACTGATGTACACATGGACCTACCTATAACAAACAGGTCGGATCCGATACAGAAGGTAGCGGAGGCATAACGGGGTGTTGGCATCCCAGGTAAACGGCGCCACTTGAATGGATCTGAGTCAACGTCCAACTCAAAGAAGTAGTCATTAGGATTTGTATCTTTTCCCATGCCACCAAGGACAAGAATCTTCCCATCTGACAAAACAAATAACAATGCTGTACAAAACATCTCATAGAATATTGTAAGTGTTACCATGTAATGCAATATAAACTTCTTATCATACCTTTCTCTCTCTTTATTCACAACAAAGTGACTGAACTTTTACTATTACAGACTATTCTTCCTGTATTGCCCCAATCAGTGTAAACACTGACTCTGAACTGCACTAAACACTCCACAATGCAGTAAACACTGTATTATCTCAATGCAGTAAACAGAATAGTATCGTATAATTGTTTAATTGTAAGGTGTTTCAAAACACTGTTATCTTCAATATTCCAGCTATATGATGGCAGTCTGAAAATAAACGAGTCTGAACCAGACAATTCAGTGATTGACATCATGATCATAGATCTAAACAATTGGGATATGATGACATACATCAACCAAGTCAGCGAGCCTGACCACCAGATCCTTCATCGCCTTTTACAACAAGCATGGGTAGCTAAAGAACAATTCAAAACTGGATCTTTACGGGTGTCAAACTATGTAGTGTAGTTAACATCATACTGTCTCAGCGGAGACATCACACTCACTGCAGGGAACATGACAGGACCTACCTTTCACTAATACAGACATTCCGAGGAGCGGTTCAATCATGCTTTCTCCCGTCGTCCACTCTTTCTTATCTATGTCGTACACTCCGACCACATCGAGGGGGTTCTGGGCCTCCGACACGCCTCCAATAACTATGATCTTGTTTTTCACTGCTGCCACACCAGGACCAGCTCGCTTCGTCGGCATTGGTGACAGCTTCTTCCACTTGACTTCCTTCTCACTCATGTCATACACCTCCACATTGTCCAGAGGTGCCCCCTTCTCGTCACATCCCCCCACCACATACAGGCTGTCCTGGTACGTCACTGGCGTTGCAAACACCCTCTTCGTGGGCATGGACTTCATCGACTGCCAGCGGAAACTTCCTGAAGACATTTTGTTGCTGTCAAAACTGTTAAAAGAGTCAAGATAAAAAAGAGCAAATTTATCAGAAACATTTACAAGTTTATATAGTGATATCAGACAATGCCATCCCCTTTTCAAAATGCCATCCCCTTAAGCAAAAACTTCTACTTGCTCTTGCAAGCTACATGACTGAAGACAGATATTGTTGTTTTTGATACAACTGAGCAGAGCTTTGTCTGGTATTTCAGAGCTACTAACATTTACCTTTCTTTATGAGGAAAATGTGATTGCAATAGATATAACCTGGTATTTAGTAACTTCAACTTTCAATCTACAAGGTTCACAGAGTTATGTCATGTATCCCGTCAAAGTGCTTCACAAATGGTAATACTATAGGAGTACTGAGCAGTGTATGTATTTCCTTATGTTTAGCATGGTTTAGTGATGAAGAATCTGGGGCCTGTGTCTTGGATTCGAACCATGGCCTTCAGATACAAGGTCTGTGGGATGAGTCAAGCCCTGATACATACAAAATACAGTTTGTGAGTCGTGGCAGTCAGTGTTTTGATCAATTAGTGAAATGGACCAAATAGTACAAATAACAATCGCTTTTCAGTTGTGACAGTTGTCAGACTGTCCCACTTGGTTGTTTCAAAATCTATAAATGTCTTTGTCTGAAATATGTTGCTCTTGTGGGATTTCACCGGGTAAGCTCTCCCCGTGTAGAACACACACACGCACACACACACACACATTTATGAAATAGGTCCGACATCATCTCATGAAGACACTCATGTAATGATGATATCCATTGTCAAACGATAACCAGACGCACATTTTTTCATTTAATCATTTTAAGTCTTGTTAAATCAGATGGGCAAGATACATCACACAGTGTCCTTTCAACAACCGGAAGGCTACAAGTAACCAAACCAACCAACCGTTACTTCTGAACAGACGAACTAGCTGACTTGGCCAATTTGACACACTGATCGACTGCAGTCGGAATCTTTGAATCTGATGACTATCACAAGTGGGCTGATCTAATATGTTAATCCACTGCTCGCGAGATGAATATTCTGCTATTATTAGTTGTGGTACTAATTCTACGCGTAATATAATTGATGTTTGTGTGGCAAGAGGCAAAGATTGTTAACATGAACACATTCTCACCGGTTTCCTGAAGTAATGTTTTGATGTAACTTGGGGAAGCGACCTCTCTGTTCCGCAAGGTAGACAACTCTGTTTTCGCGTGCGCATGACATGTGAGTGTAGCCTGTCTCACATTCCCTGAATTGCATTAATTGCCCATAGGCGATCCAGGGGAGGGGTTCGTACCATAAGATCTACAATACAACCGAATGAAATTATTTTGTGACTATACTAAATAAATGTATAAGTTTATAATACCTTTCCTACTGTTGTTCTTTACACAACATGCTACCGTTTGCTCGGGACCAAATTTTTAACCAGACTGAATGGACATAAAACCAACATTTTACGTCCGCTTCGAAAGATGGTTCTTTTGGTTTCCCCCCTAACGGCAGCCACCCAGACACACTAACAGGGGGTATGTTGCTATGGTTACTCTTCAAGTGACAACATGCTTCTTAACCATGACTATTTCTGCACAGGATTTACACACACGGCCAGTGGGAAACGGTTAAAGAAGGATTCTACCATGGCTACGTGAAATGCTCGAATTTGATTGGTCAAGCTATAAAATCAGACGGTATCAATTTGGATTGAAAATGCGTCTGATTTCACGGCGCTTCACTGCGCACGTATACAACACTGCCGCACTACTTCAGCTTGGCCACCAACATGACTAATATCAACACAACAGACGTGATGGAAATGCTGATGAAACATTTATTAAACCTCGAAAAATACAATTATACGATTTCTCCTCCACAATTATTAGGGGACCTCACTATCATAATTATTACCTTCTATTATAAAAATATTCAAAAACAATTACAATACACAGCCCCAAACATAAACAAACAATATCCAATATATAAATAAAAAACCTTGTAAAAATACATCCCTATCTATTTGTGCGGCAAAACGTTCGTAAACTTTTACCTACCTGGTAAATGGTATATTTGTTTCCGTTTAGAATGGGAAATTCGCAAGATAACGGTCAGGCGAAACACAAAATTCGCCACTCATACTCCATCATGTCCCGTTGCATCGTTCAAAATGTCAAAAACTGAACCATGAAACTTCAGTTCTCTGCCACCTTCCCCGAAGGCTGTCACTGCTATGTTCGTACACTTTGAAAAGCTTGGCCACAATCCAGTCCCAAATGATGAGAACAATGTTCCAAGGAATCCCAAGTTAGTCGCATGTACACAAAGCTGCACTGTCACTCTTCCTCGCATGCCGGGGTGGAGGCACGTACGTGAAATCATGATCGACACCCGCCGGTCATAAAAAATCAACAGTCTTTGATGAGTTACAGGTTATAGGTCGATCAGAAAAGGATCTATTCTTCGATTCTGCAGGGTTCAGGTTCGACAGTCCGTCAAGTATTTTCCACTGTCACGTCGAATTTCAACCTTTCGCAAAATGTAAACACTGGCTCGTCCGCCATTTCAAACTGTTGCGTAACTGTCTACTTCCAAGAAAATAAGTAGGTCAGACGATTCCATTATACTGTGGCCAGGGGGGTACAGTAATACGGCACACAAAACAATAGGCTGGTTTGGTCTTGTAGAGTTATGATTATAAAAACCAAGCTCTTAGGTGTTACATTATTGCATTGAATAAACAGTAGTTTGTTTTCTTTTGACAGAATATTTTTTATGTTGCAATGTTAAAAAAAATACGAACGGAACCTACCACTCCTTTATCAGACGAGTTCAATTCGTCTCTCATCCCATGCCGGATTACGCAGTGTCTTCCGCAGGACGAGGAAGTTCGATGTTAAATCGGTTATGGTAGAATGGAGATAAACATATTGTGTTTGGAAATTAGATGAATGTTAGACCGAATTGATAGTCTCTAAATTAATCATTTGAAACCTCACGCTACGCGTTCGGCTTCAAATAAAATTTAGAGACTATCAATTCGGTCTAACATTCATCTAATTTCCAAACACAGTACGTTTATCTCCTAATTGCCTAATACCACCCATCCATGTTTAGGGAGCCGCTATCCACTCAATATAATTGAATTTATTATTATCTAAAATAAATCAATCACTCTTGTAACCGTTATTAATTGGTTATAAAGTAACTACTCCTGATAAACTTATACAATTTTTCAATTTAGGAATTCATATCTTACAAGAGTTAAGGAGTCGGAATATAATCTGCCGAGCACTAAGAAAGCATACATTTGAAAACTGGATTGGACCAAATATGTACCCATATTATCGACACGCTACTAAGCTGAAAACAGTCAGTCGCTGAAACACGACAAAGAAGCTCCAGAAAGTAACCACGATACCCGTTTGAAACAAATCACCAGCGAAAACGTATTTCCTGTTTGTTTTGTTTTAGCCTCCATCAAACCAGGGATACTCTACAATACCTTATATAGTCTCCCTGATCAAACGTTGGTGTATAATCTTTTTTGGTTTCCTCCGTATTAAGTCCTAAAATTGCGCAGCAAAGAGCATGCACTGTCTGGCTATAAAAGTCCAGATTACTTTCGGAAATCGGCATTTGTTTTAAAGGATTTTCGAGGTCAAATCACTACGCCACGTCTTGACGCTGCGACAAGGCGCATTGGCACTGAAGAAAGTCACGCTGGAGATTACCAATTTTCTGTTGCCTGAATGTTAGTCTGAGCTCGATATCACGGCTTGCAGCTCGTTACAACCAAACAGGTATAACAAATGACCGTCCCCGTACAGGCAGACATCGAGTCACCACTGCAGCCCAAGATCGGCCCATCCGGGTACTACATTTGCGTGATCGTACTGCCACGGGTGAGAGCACAGCAGCCAGGGTGCCTGGATATCCGGTCAAACTGTACGGAACATGTTGAAAGAGATTGGTCTGAGAGCCAGGAGACCCTACGTCGGGACCATGCTACGTGGTCACCATCGCGCTCATCATCTCCGTTATCTAAAATTATCCACTTGGTTGTATAGACATTTCCTTCTTCTAAACTGATGTAAAAATTCATGCACTAAAGTCTATTTGTGAACGAGTTATACATGTTTGAAAATACAACATTTTTGCAACCGATTTCAGGCCTATGCTTTTCTTTTATTTGGATAGTATATATGATCTAAACGATTGACTGAATCCGATAGGATTTTAATCATAAGCATGTCATTGTTTCCATTACTAAGCAATTACCCATGAAGGTCCGGGTTAGAATATTGATCTTCAGTAACCCATGCTTGTCGTAAGAGGCGACTAACGGAATCGGGTGGTCAGGCTCGCTGACTTGGTTGACACATGTCATCGGTTCCCAATTGCACAGATCGATGCTCATGCTGTTGATCACTGGATTGTCTGGTCCAGACTCGATAATTTACAGACCGCCGCCATATACTTTAATATTGCTGAGTGCGGCGTAAAATTAAATTCACTCATTTAATCACTCACTCACTCGCTCACTCACTAAGCAATTCGGGCATGCATCATTTTGACAATTTCATGTGTTTCGAAACTTTTGTTTGGTACTTTTTTATGCAATGTAAAATCTATTCGAGGACAAACAAGGTTAGCTAAATATCCTTGTGAATGTGGCTCTACATGTATGTGTAACATTCAGTGAGTGAGTAAGTGAGTATGGTTTTACACCGCTTTTAGCAATATCCCAGGAATATCACGGCAGGGGACACCAGAAATGGGCTTCATACATTGTACCCATGTGGGAATCGAACCGGTCTTCGGCGTGACGAGCGAACGCTTTAACCACTAGGCTACCCACCGCCTCTGTAACATTAAAACATTGTTTCTCTGTGTGCTATGTGTGCATTGTACGTTTATTCAGTTTCACCATATCTCCAAACGGCCGAGTGCTTGTGGCTAGAATGTGTTCTTCGCGAATGCCGATGTCATCGCCAATTTTCAACTGTCCATTCATTAGAACTGGTCTTCAGCATCGATGCTCACGATGTCAATCACTGGATTGTCTGGTCCAGACTCCATTATTTACAGACCGCCGCCATATACTAGTAGCTGGAATGTTGCTGAGCACAGGGTTGAACAAACAAACAAACAAACAAAACCGTTCGTTTTTACGGCGGGTGTGCCTTATACCCTCAGTGGAATCTGTCACGGCGGATTATTGAGACTGGTTATTCTCAGGCTTTGACGTATTATATTTCATTATGATACAAGCCTTGTAACTGTAAAATTGGATCATACGATTGCTATCTGATTTGAGGAAATCGCCCTTGTGAATCCATGCCTCCCGCGTTTCGCATCATGGTCAAGACTGAAAATACTCTCTTCGCTCAGTGCACTGAACATGAGCCATGGTATTAATAGTATCCTCTGGCTCTGAGATGGGGCCTAGCATCGTTTCTGAATATCAATAAATAATATCATGGCGAGGAAACAGGAACGGGTTTCACACATTGTGGGAATCGAACCCACTGCCTCAGTCTCAATGCACAACACTTCAAACTGGATTTGACATGTGTTTACTTACCAGCCCCCAAATCCAGAGGTATATAACGTGACTATATACTAGTACATCTGAATGATATAAGTAACCAATCACAATCCAGTATTTACTGAAGTCACAATCCAGTATTTACTGAAGTCATGGTATAATAAGAGTTTGCTTCGTTGTTTCGGTCTGCTAAGTAAACACATGTCAAATCGTTGTGCACTTCACACAGGTGTTTGTTAGAATTGTCACGTGATTTAGCGGTTATTAGATGAACCAATCAGAACCCACTTCCGTTGCACTTGTTTTTGGATCAATGGAAGCAGACGTGACAACGGAGCTGGTGCAAGTCAAGTGAGTTGCAACATGCAAGACAGTCATCATTCAGGTTTTACTATATACTCGGTACTATTAACAATTTACGAAACTCAGTAGTGGAAGTACAGAAGGCTTTCAACTAAGAAAGATTCATTGTGATTTCTTTGGCAGTTGTGAATGCGAGGATATTTAACTGAAACTTTTATGCGGCCCTACAATGTAGTATTTGCTTTCAAGATCCTAGTTGTAACATATGGTGTTATAATGAATAAGGCTATAACTATTGTGTTAGTATTTCATATAAGCTGTTCTTTGTATGATAGTGTGACTATGTCTTGACTACAGGCCGCATTGCGGCTCTCATCCTCGATAATCTCCAGGGTATACGTTACAATAACTCGTCACTATATAGTGGAGAACTATACCACTATATAGAGGAGAGTTATCGTAACGTATACCCTGGAGATTATCGATGATGCGTGGCTCTCGGCTATGTTATGTCCATTCTGAAAGCATCCAAAACACAACGAGATTTACTTGCCTGTACATGTGTCTATTGCTATGATTCACACATATGATGACTGCCAATGTTTTAGACCGATTTACATAAGTGCCAAACGCAAAATCTTAACATGAACCGTTCTAAACTGCAGCTACTTTCTTCTACATTAAACCTACCTGTCGTAATGGTATGTCTCTAGATGTTTGTTTCTAAGGTGTGCCCTCCTAAAACAACCAACGTATGTCTCTGTATGGAAAACCTTGAAACCAAACAGTCTAATTTTTAACTGTATTTCTGTTTTAAAGTTTTAACTGCTTCCCATGCAGCCTGTCATTAACTGACAAGCGGATATAAAATAACCCGTCAAACAGCCTTCTTGCGGTAATGGAAATGGTTTTGTGGCTTTGTTTATTTGTGTGTGCTTGACTTTGACAGCTTGCAACGAGAATGTTGTCGACATACTGTGCTCCTCGCATGGAGCGAGGTTCCGGATTATTCAATCATTTGGTACTGGAGCAACTGAACACATTACGATTTCTATTTGTCGATGTGTGGACAAATTAATTAACTCCGGAATCAAGCAAATACCATCAGCAGAAATCACGTCCATATCGATTGAAGACGCTTTCCCAATTCCATAATTCAACGCAATTATTATACGTTTCATGTAACAGGTATGTTTTCACGCTACACGTTGGGGTTATACACAGGAAGTTGTCATCCATAAAGGTGTATGCTTCATTGTTGACTCACCAGCTTCCGGTATGCCGATCAAACCACCGACTGAATTGTTTGTAAAGCACTGACAGAATAACAAAAAAACCCCGCTTGTACAGGCCATGAAATGAATCCAACGCAGTGCTTTAATGATGGCTCAATGCTCAGCAGGAAATACTGACAAGTGATCAGCTGAACGTAGGAAAGGTCCCGGTTTTCACTGACAGTGAAGATCCATGGCCGGGCACAGGGCACTGTGATCCATCAGCTCGAAGTGTTAGCTCAGACCAATAACCTGATCGTGTACATCAATGGGCATGGCTGGTTGGGTGGTTTGTTGTTTAACGCCGCACTCAGCAATATTAAAGCTATATGGCGGCGGTCTGTAAATAATCGAGTATGGACCAGACAATCCAGTGATCAACAGCATGAGCATCGATCGGAATGCAATTGGGATGCGATGACATGTGTCAACCAAGTCAGCGAGCCTGACCACCCGATCCCGTTAGTCGCCTCTTACGACAAGTATGGGTTGCTGAAGATCAATATTCTAACCCGGAACATTAATGATGGAAATAGGCACTCCGACAAAGTAATCCACAAGGTCCCATACCATGGTTCTAAGGATCTTGAACACACTCAGTACAATCGCCTGAGACGACTGAATTTAAGTGTGTCTTTTTCCATTCACAATTATTTCCATTTATACACATATCTGACTTCTAACAAATCTTCTTAAATCTAAGGCTTTTCACACGATTCGACTTGTAAAACAAAACTAGAGGTGGTGGCAATCTTGACCCCTTTTGGCTCAGTGGCTTTCAACTATCTCTCTATCATGTACGGCACTGGTGTTACCCATGGAGATCCGGGTTAGAATAGGTCTTCAGCCACCCACGCCTTTTGCAAGAGGCGACTGACTTGTGTATCATTAAGAAATTGTCCCCTCTATCTGTGTTATATGTGCATACGTTTACTCAGTTTCTCCATATATTCATAACGGTCGAGTGCTTGTGGCTAGAATGGTTTCTATTTTAGCTGTCCATTCATTAGAAATTGGTCTTTAGCAACCTATGCTTGTCTTAAAGGCGACTAACGGGATCGGGTGGTCAGACTCGCTGACTTAGTTGACACATGTCATCGTATCCCCACTGCGTAGATCGATGCTTGTGATGTTGATCACTGGATAATCTGGTCCAGAGTCGATGTTTACAGACCGCTGCCATATTGTTATTATTATTGGTTATTTATATAGCGCACATATCGAGGAAACTAGTGCTTGCTCAAGGCGCTGGTACTTTTCCCCTCGATCATTGGATGTCAATCTCAACGGCACATCTTATTATCAATCACAACTCCCTGGGGATCATACAACTCTTGCAGCCACTAGGCGCACCGAGTTATTGCGGCTTTCCATTCCGTACGAGGTACCCATTCACAGCTGGGTGGACTGGGACACATTGTCACAGTACTTTGTCCAAGTTTACTGCACGTTGCTGTACCCGCAACTAGGTGTTTGCACGTGTTCATGTGGCCACCATCTGGTCATATACCAACGGATTCGTGGGTTCTTTTAAGTGCACAAGGTTGTGTACTGTACACTAGGGTTTGTTACAATACTGAAAGACTCTGCACACAAAGTTGACTCCAAGGTTTTTACACCCGGTCACAGGTGGGCTCGATCCCGGCACCTCATGCTCGCTGGATCACTAGCCTGGCGCCTTAGCCAGCTCGCCCACCAAGTCCCCAAATACCTGGAATATTGCTGAGTGCGGCGTTAAACAACAAGCAAACAAAAACGGAATTAATGTGTACATTAGGACTCAGCTTCCAAGTAGTCTGCAAAATGTTTTAAGGAAGATTCGGAGAATTCAATCTTCTCACCCAAGAGAAATATCTGGAGGCATGGACGTAGTTGATGATGTCGTCGTGATGGGAACATATGTAGGTCCTTGGTTAGAACGTTGATCAGGTTTTTGGTGATGATCTGGTTAGCTGAGGTAGACGATTGTTTTGTTGCTGTATTGCTGGTTGACTGTACCGGGCTAGTCTTGCTCTGTGGTGGATGTAGGCTTTCTAGGTGGATGGTTGTGGTATAGTAATAGTAAACATAGAAACAATCAGGACGACCGGGGTTCGAGCCCGTGCCCACTTTAGCAATTCGCTGACAATGACGTCACGATTGCTTGTGTCGACGCATAATGTTAATGTGCAGTAATCGTAGTGATATTCCTACTCAGCAACGACAATACAACCGACAGCATGGTATTTGGGGAGAAACGTTTACTCTTTGAACAACAAACATGGAGATAAACCGAACGGTACCAACTAACGACAAAACGTGTTTTCGTCACGGCCACGCATTTGACATGGGGCATTAGATCAAGGTTGTCTTAAAGAGCCCTCAGCACATTTATAGCTTAGTAATCACAAAATATATACAACATACAATGATCCATAGTGAAGATTCCACCTCAGCAATTCGCTGACAATGACGTCACGATTACAGTAATCGTAGTGAGAGTCCTACACAGCAACCAGATTCTATGTTAGGCTGACAATACAACCAACAGCATGGCATTTGGGGAGAAACGTTTATTCTTTGCACAACAAACATGGCGACAAAAAAACAAACGTTATAATCAGTACAAACTAACGTAATACCTGTTTTCGCTATGCATTTGACATGCGGAATTAGATCAAGGTTGTGGCTTCAGCATATTTATAGCTTAATAATCACAAAATATACACAATATACAACTATCTATAGTGAAGAGTTTTGGCTCACATTGCAAATGTTCAAAAGCATAAATCTATCTCACTGTTGCCTTTGATTTCCAGATTTATCTACATTAAGTTATTCATTATGCACCAATAAAACAATAAAATACACATATCAGAGATACTCGTCAAACAGCTTCACAATATTAATGGCTGTGGGTAAAGTACATTATCGAGGTGACTACAGCTGTTGCACAATGCTGAATGTGCAACTAAAGTCCAAAGGAGAAGGAAGTGAATTGTTATGTTAAAGCTGACACAAACCTAATGAACAATACACAATTACAATAAACTGAGTTGATATTATTATAAGTTTGGATTTTTCAATTGAAATTACCTAAAGTTAGAAACATTGAATATCTAACACAGAAACTGTACCAGCCATTACGTGGTACACGGAGAATACCTCTCCATTTTCAAAACATCATTTGATTTAATCTTTTAGAACCGATTACGCCTACAAACTCATGCAAGAATGAGAAATGGTAAAATAGACACAAACCAAGTTATTATTCAAGTTCATAAACAAGGTCGGTAGACTTCCCTCATTAACTCGAGAGCTTAACGATTTTCAGAAATTACAACTTTTAAATGATTGTTTCTAGAGACGATATAAACATTTTGACGAGCATTACAACATGTAGCCACACAAATGGAAGCAGAAAGAAGATCGGATGAATTACGTGGTGTTATGAACAAATATAATACATTTATATGTTCATTAAAGGTATTCAAATCCTGCCAAGTTTATGGTACTGACAACTCCAGCATCCTGCTTTCAGTTCGGAAAGCAACTACAAGCATCACAGTGTGACTGACACAAACGTCACGTTAACAAACAGTTGACACGGATAACATTGCTTCTAAAGAAATTCTAACCGATCATCTATTGAAACAACGAACAGCGCGTTGTATAACAGGCTACTTAAGTTTGCAGTTGGTGTTCAATATTTCTGGACTAACATTATTAACTCAAAGGTAAAACGACGTTATGCATCCTTTAGATGTTCATTATATATCCGAGGACTCGCCTTGACATAGCAGAACTACTGCACCGACTCACTTACCATTAAGGACAGGTGCAAACATACTCACATTGTTATTCTTGTAACATTATGCAAACCCACGTTATAATGAATGACGATCTATTCTTGATATTTTATATCTCCTTTGACCTCATCCATCCTGTGTGTATTTTAAACATAGGTTAAAATATCAAATACATATGCAATAAGACATTTGATTAATGTGTGAATCAGTTCAAAACGATGTCGAGTTGTAAGTCGGTTTTCGATCTCGAATAGTACTTACATCGGTGTTGTCTCTCATCCACTTATAGCAAACCACCATAAACCACAAGAACCAAGAGATATTGTCAACGATAGTACGAAAAATACTCCATCCAAAGCTCTCTCATGTGATAAAGACCTACCACACCCCCTGAATCGCCTTCCATGTTTCACCTCAACCAATTCAACACCCTTCGTCTGGTGTTTTGCAGCCGTTTCTTCAGCCTTCTCCTTCCGGTGATGCACGCCGAGGACCACGATGGATGCGAGGATGGTGAGGAAGCCCTGCACCTCCAGTAAAGCCAGGAACAGAGCCAGCAAGGAGACGGAGTCGGAGGTGGGGGGCATGGTTTGTTGAATGAGGTTGAGGAACACAGCGTGAGAGACAAACACAGCCATGAGGAAGCCAAGCTTCTCCCCCGACCTGGCGGGAATGAGGAACACACATGGGTTCAGGAGGGACATAAGCACCATGGGGAAGATGATGTTGATCAAGTAGTAGGTCGGCCTTCTTTCTAATGTTATTATGAACTGTGCTGCATTCACGCCCCCAGACTCCACCGGTACTAGCTGGGAATTCGTGTGTAGGTAATTCCACTCCCCATTCTGAACGGTCAGGTCTTTCACATTTTGTAAATTTACGGCGTCTATCGTAAAATTGATTTTGTATCCGAATGTTGGCATGATGAGGACGAGACAGGTTTGTTTATCAAAAGGGTATCGAAACACGTCTATTTTACACGATGTCCGGAAGGTGCCGGGGAGCTGCCACGACATGAACCCTTGCCATGAAACAAAAACATTTCTGCTGGCGACTGGCTCATGACTATCTATGCTGTTTGATAATATTATACTGGGGGTCCACACATTGTCAGGCTCTACTTCAATGCGGTCATTATCATAGTACTGGGAAATGTTCCAAGCGAGGTCCATATCCTTCCACCGTAGTTCAAAGTAGGCGAGTACGGTCAGTACCTGGCTTGCCGAATCCAGATCAATGATGGCGACCGGCTCAAACGTTACCTGCACATCAACCGTGGAGCTATTGTCAACGAAGGGAGGAATAGTTTTGTTTGTTCGGCCAAACAGGGCATCATGTAGCGACACCAGAGCTGCTCGTTTCTCTGAATGTCCCCAAACAACACAGCACAGTGTGACACAACACAAGACGACGCATCGGGCAGACATGGTAGTCTCGTTCCTCAGGATGACGTACACGTCACTGCAGGTCAGATATGACTTAAAGATACGACACTGTACTTAACACTGTTATTTATTGTAGTCACTGTATACCAGATGTGACTGTCCTATTGCCACCGTACTCCAGATGATATCGTTAAAGTGAGTGAGTCAGTCACTGTACGCCAGATGTGATAACGTTATGGTGTCTGCAGCATTCTTTACTTTGCGATGTGATTCTGATGTTGGATGTCACAGGATCAAATACACACTGAACTTTGCTTGCACATCAGACGACACTGTCTCTTTTGTCGCCGAACGTCAGTCCAAACTACATGTGACCCTTTGTCTGATGTTGCTGCAACGTTTAACACCATCACTGCACAAAGCCGGGTAAGTATGTAATTTTGATGTTTGATGATATTAAATTACAACACACAGCCGTCACTCCTTTGGTTTCACCCAGGGGCTCTAGTACGATGGGTAGGCAGCTTGGCTTGACCAGGTAATTCCACAATTACCTTCATCGGATTCACTTCCAACCTTCATCAGCTCCTGGCACAAATGTCCATCAAGTTTCCTTTTGAAGCAACTTTCTTATCAGAACAACTAGTCCAGAATGACTGACAGTCCCATAAACAGCTAGTATTCATGTAAGAGCTAGTATTTACATCTCCATTATCCCATTGTGGAGCACGTGCTGTTAAGCATTCAAACCGTCATAAAGTTGTCTGTCTTTGTTGGCATATGATGGGTGTTTGTTTGTCAGGGTCCAGGAAATGGATGTGGATAGTAAGCTGGATGGGATTACCTAGTACAGAAGAGCACGGTAACATCCGGCCCTTAGGAAATGTGATCTATTACATGATATGTCCATATTTTACGTTTAATGGACGCGTGGTATACTGCCCTCAGTTAAAATTATTTCCTTTTCGCGTTCGAGAAGTGTGTATATACATCCCCATTAGCCGCTATGCCTCTGGTGTTTGCTGATACTGGAAACACGCCTATGGGGAACGAACCCAGCTTTAACAAACAAAGAGTTAATCCATGCTTATTTACCTTAAACCGGCACATTAGCCCAACTTATTTTCAATATTGCTTTGTTAGTTTTTACGAATAAAAGGTTTGATAAGTCAATGGAAGCATGTGAATAAATGCATCTAGCTGAAGTTAACACATTAACACATTACAACCGGAAAGGAAGACTGACAAAACATGTTATTGGCCAGGGGAAAGATGGGTATGTTCGAGCTGTACTTTTTGGGTAACCGGTGCCCATAACGGTCACCATTTGCCAAACATCCATTCACCTCTTGGTGTATACCGCCTGTAGGTCTCCCAAAGTCGAGACACGTGAGACTGTCCCACTCCTCTTGCGCCAATTGGGTCGCCGGCCTATTACACACAGGTCTCAATATCGTGTCTCAGACTTTTGAAATAGGACAAAGGTCTTGGCACATAGCTGGCCATTGCATTCTATGGATGTGGTGGGTGAGCACTGACGTTTCGTGCACAGTGATCACGGTCGTTGTCGACCTGGAAATGTACACTTTTGTACTTTTGTGTTGTTTTATATGTCATGATTAACATATATTTCAAATTTGAACGAAATCACTCCAGATTGTAGATGTTGGTGTCGTCCGTCACGTACATCGGGAACACACGCTTGCTAGGAACAGGTGGTAGCTTTTCCCACTTCTTGATCTCGAAGTGATACACCTCAAATGCATCTGTGGGAATCTTACCCTGTCGTCCACCTGTAACAGATGCCACCAGCTCTCCATTGCTCGAACCTGTTACAGCTAACACAAGTGCCTAGAGCAGTGTAGGAAAGATGTAGAAAATCTAGCCTGTCCACAGGACTGGCAGGTCAAATTTTTTACCAGTCCTGCCAAAATCTAGCCTGTCCTCCAAATATAAATAAAACACCTTCGGCAGTAAATATTCAAAAAGGTTATAATCATTATATATATGTCATTGGTTTGCTAAAATTGACCCGACATGAGGACGGACTAGATATTTTTTTAACCCGTCCTCCACAAAATTCACCCGTCTCGGACGTTGGGACGGGCTATCTTTCCTACACTGCCTAGAGTCTGAAGCACTCAGTTAGATGTTGCAATGTCATGATACAATGACTTTGGTGTTAAATGATTTGTATCCTGATACAGTAATTTTTCATAAGTTGACATTCTTTTTAATGCAGATGAATCACAACCCTGAATCGTTCCTTTAAAATTTCAGACTTCAAAGATATTTTAGGCAGATTCATCAACCAGAAGGCAATGTAAATGTGTCTATCTAGAGCCAACTGGAAAATATTAGAGCACCTGTTCCAGCTCTTTGTAGAACAGTTTCTTTTAGCAATTTCAATCCCATATTATTCACCTGTTTTTATGCCAGTATAATGTGTACCAGTCATGATAATGTGCAAGATGTATCATGACACAAGTTGTAAATTGATGTATCGTGGCAAGGTCCTAACATCAGTATACTGTATCATTGTATTGTCACATAACTGGTGAACTCAAACATCTCCTTCATTCAAGACATGTTTAGATCATGTTCCTCCATGAAGCCATGACAGATACAGTCCTGCATCATTTCATTAAACTATAATGAAGCCAGAGATACTCCTGACATTTATAATGTATGTGACCATCTGCTGCTCCAGTTGACATGGCTGGCATACTGATGTACACATGGACCTACCTATAACAAACAGGTCGGGTCCGATACAGAAGGTAGCGGAGGCATAACGGGGTGTTGGCATCCCAGGTAAACGGCGCCACTTGAATGGATCTGAGTCAACGTCCAACTAAAGAAGTAGTCATTAGGATTTGTATCTTTTCCCATGCTACCAAGGACAAGAATCTTCCCATCTGACAAAACAAATAACAATGCTGTACAAAACATCTCATAGAATATTGTAAGTGTTACCATGTAATCCAATATTGCCCAAGGCAATATAAACTTCTTATCATACCTTTCTCTCTCTTTATTCACAACAAAGTGACTGAACTTGCACTATTACAGACTTTTCCTCCTGTATTGCCCCAATCAGTGTAAACACTGACTCTGAACTGCACTAAACACTCCACACTGCAGTAAACACTGTATTATCTCAATGCAGTAAACAGAATAGTATCGTTTAATTGTTTGAATGTTAGTTGTTTCAAAACACTGTTATCTTCAATATTCCAGCTATATGATGGCAGTCTGAAAATATACGAGTCTGAACCAGACAATTCAGTGATTGACATCATGATCATAGATCTAAACAATTGGGATATCATGACATACATCAACCAAGTCAGCGAGCCTGACCACCCGATCCTTCGTCGCCTTTTACAACAAGCATGGGTAGCTAAAGAACAATTCAAAACTGGGTCTTTACGGGTGTCAAACTATGTAGTGTAGTGAACATCATACTGTCTCACCGGAGACATCACACTCACTGTAGGAAACATGACAGGACCTACCCATCACTTATACAGACATTCCAAGGAGCGGTTCAATCATGCTTTCTCCCGTCGTCCACTCTTTCTTCTCTATGTCGTACACTTCGACCACATCGAGGGGGTTCTGGGCCTCCGACACGCCTCAAATAACTATGATCTTGTTTTTCACTGCTGCCACACCAGGCGTTGCAAACACCCTCTTCGTGGGCATGGACTTCATCGACTGCCAGCGGAAACTTCCCGAAGACATTTTGTTGCTGTCAAAACTGTTAAAAAAGTCAAGATAAAAAAGAGCATATTTATCAGAAACATTTATAGTGATATTATACAATGCCATCCCCTTTTCAAAACTTTTAAGCCAAAAATTCTACTTGCTCTTGCAAGCTACATGTCTGAAGACAGATATTTGTGTTTTTGATGCAATTGAGCAGAGCTTTGTCTGGTATTTCAGAGCTACTAACATTTACCTTTCTTTATGAGGAAAATGTGATTGCAATAGATATAACCTTGTATTTAGTAACTTCAACTTTCAATCTACAAGATTCACAGAGTTATGTTATGTATCACGTCAAGGTGCTTCACAAATGGTAATACTATAGGAGTACTGAGCAGTGTATGTATTTCCTTATGTTTAGCATGGTTTAGTGATGAAGAATCTGGGGCCTGTGTCTTGGATTCGAACCATGGCCTTCAGATACAAGGTCTGTGGGATGAGCCAAGCCCTGATACATACAAAATATAGTTTGTGAGTCGTGTCAGTCAGTGTTTTGACGATTAGTGAAATCGACCAAAGAGAACAAATAACAATCGCTTTTCAGTTGTGACAGTTGTCAGACTTGGTTGTTTCAAAATCTACAAATGTCTTTAATGCACACACTTGTCTGAAATATGTTGCTTTTGTGGGATTTCAACGGGTAAGCTCTCCCCGTGTAGAATAGACACACACACACACACACACACCTCGCACGCAAGCACACGCGCACACACACACACACACACACATTTATGAAATAGGTCCGACATCATCTCATGAAGTCGAAGACACTGATGTAATGATGATATCCATTGTCAAACGATAACCAGACGCACATTTATTCGTTTAATCATTTCAAGTCTTGTTAAATCAGATGGGCAAGATACATCACACAGTGTCCTTTCAACAACCGGAAGGCTACAAGTAACCAAACCAACCAACCTTTACTTCTGAACAGACGAACTAGCTGACTTGGCCAATTTGACACACTGATCGACTGCCGTCGGAATCTCTGAATCTGATGACTATCACAAGTGGGCTGATCTAATATGTTAATCCACTGCTCGCGAGATGAATATTCTGCTATTATTAGTTGTGGTACTAATTCTACACGTAATATAATTGATGTTTGTGTGGCAAGAGGCAAAGATTGTTAACATGCACACATGCTCACCGTTTCCTGAAGTAATGTTTTGATGTAACTTGGGGAAGCGACCTCTCTGTTCCGCAAGGTAGACAACTCTGTTTTCGCGTGCGCATGGCATGTCAGTGTAGCTTGTCTCACATTCCCT